AATTGCATGGTAGAATTTGGACAACAGAAAGGTCCTTCTAGATAGCAACATGGTTGCTATTGTTGGTTAAAGGAAAGCTTGCTACTTGGCTAATATCTCCCTTTGTAATCATCAATACTTTACACAAGGATATGGTACAGTGACTAATAATTATCACATGATAGACTACAATTAGATATACAAATCTAGCCAAGCAATTCCAATCATACAGAAACATCCCCTATTTCAAAGGAAATGGCTACATCAAACTCTGATTCCTCGTCAGTTTCTTCGTACTCTCCACTTTCCTGCCACATATCAGAAAGCCATTGACATAATTTATATAAATCCCCATTAATAACTGTGCAAACAATAACAGTGCCTATCGAAAGGACAGATTCTTTACCATTTTCATGTTATATTCGATCATTGCTCTATCAAATTCTGCTCGTTTTTCAGTGGCTATATCGTAGTATTGAACCTTCTCCTGTAAGATACAATTACAGTGTCATATGCCAGTACTCATTCGAGAACTGACTTTGATCATACAGAACAACTCAAGACTTTGATCATTAAAATTGATTTTAGCCAAGAATTCCCATCAGCTGATTCAGTATAATGCTACTTCCGCATCATTTTCCGGAATTGAATAGCATGCAAGGAATTTCAAGGCATAAATCAGTGGCAGCATCCACCATAGTTCATCTTGGTAAATATAAGAAACAAATAATTTGTTCTATACATGGTTTTATTAAATTTACATTTATCCGCATTTATGCATGTCAAGATCAAGTGCAATGAAGCTGCACTACTTCATGCCCAAATAATTTGGAATACAGCTCCTGGACCAATTTTGAAACTTCAATATATGACTGACTCCGATTCTACCTTCTAACACAACAATCATAATGATGCACTTGATTGTTGAGCCTAAATAAGAAAATATAAGGTTACAAATACGAACCTCATAAGTCATTGTTTTCCACTTCTCTCCACAAGCCTTGCCAATCTGAATGAAAAGAAAAAAGAGGAAGAAACAGAAACAGAGTTAGGATACTTGCAGAAAATAAGAAGAAGAGGTGAAAAAAAAAAAGTTCATGGCCATTTGCACGGCAAAGTATTGAACTTTCTTGCGAACTGCTGAATAACTGGCAGCTTTTTTCATTTTGAGAAAAAAGGAATTGCTTAACTTCTAAGTTATTAGATTTTAAAGACTTTATGAAGTCTTTACACAAAAAGTTATGCCATTATCTTGCTTCCACGTCAAAGATAATAATCAAATTAAAGTGTTACTACAAAATGAATTCTATACTTACATCACGCATTGACTTAACATCTGGATTCTGCTCTTGAAATTCTTTACGAAAATCCTCCCTTGAAAAATGAAAAATTAAAATTAAACAAAATAGTAGTAAAGGATTATAATGCACTAAACATACGACATAGAAGTACCAAATGGTTGTTCAATATAGCCACTATGCTAGGTTAACGAGCATTGACACAGTATTATATAAATAGGGGAAACTGCATCTAACCAACCAGATTTTTGCCTCCAATTGCAATGCAGGCCCCAATTTAAAAACATTCAATCCCCCAGTCTATTAACCCATTGCAATAAGCCCCCTGTCAGCTAAATTAAGAAATTTTATTATGTCATTATAAAATACCTTTCCAATTATTTAACAACCTTTTTGTCATTTTCTTCTTTTCCCCAGCCAATTTATCCTTGTTCATGGTTTAATCCTGATGGAGACTGAAAAAATACTTGATTGTAGGGAAAGTAGCACTCTTCTCTATTTAATCACAAGAAGAAATGCAAGACTATCCCCTGTTACTGCCAAATAAACCCAGAAAACGAGGAACAGCACAAAACAATCACAAACGAAAAAAACACAAAGCTCCCTGACGTTCAAGAGGTCAGGACTCTCCCCCACAAACAAGTCCAAACTTTTCCAAACTCCTACAGACAATATTCTCTGTAGAAAAGCCTCACTCCCCTCTGTCAAGTCATTGTACCCTACCCATTCTCAGCCCTTTGTAAACTTCGTCCCATTTCTTCTTAGCAGGCTCTCCCTCACACCTCTTTTCGCAGACCATGCCCAACTTCTCTTTCGATCCATCCAATCCTATTTCATTCAAACCACTCATGTTGAAATGTGAATAATCACCCACCAGAATTTCCAAAGAACCTTGAGATTTAATGACAAGAAAGAAATAATTTTTCTGGCGGGGGGATTTTGGCAGGTGTTGCAGGATGGATTGCAACTTGAGAATTGGGTTGTGCATTATATGTTGATAGGTTGTTTCAAAAGGCTTAAAAGCAGGAGAATGTTGACAGTCAATGGAATTTGAATTAATTGTGGAAATAGCAGCTACGGTTATTAACCGTTGAGAACATTGGAAATGACTGCATTGAAGAAGATGATGATAATGAAGGAGGATACACAAAAGCGTGCGAAGGCAGAACTTTCTGAGGCCAAAGGCTGAACATACCCTTGCATTGTGAAGATAAAACTGAGTTACAGGTACCCATGGCCACTCTTCTCTAGCGCATGTAAGAACAGGACAGAAAGTGCAATACAATTAATGTTTAACTTAACAAGACAAAGAGAAAGTGCGCATTTAGATTCTGTGATGGGTGATTATCAAGCCTGTTTATCTGTAAATTGATGGAGTAGAATAATATGGTTGGGAAAAATAAAGAGATGGCCAGACGGGCTATTATATAATAGAAAAGGTGTCATAGTAATTTTATACAGTCAAAATTTTCTATGTTAGATTATAGGAGTCTTTTTGGATAACATTAGACGATAGGTGCTTATTGAATGGGTTTAATAGATTAGAACATCACTTGCAAATTTCTGAAGATAGGGGTGGACGCTGCAATTGGGTGCAAATATTCAAGTGGATAGATGCAATTTTCTCATACAAGCCATCAGAAAAACAAAAACTAAGTAATTCAGCAATAATATGGAATTAGCATGACAGGCTGTTGATATCTTTCATCATTCATAGTTGCATAATTACATACAAAGCAAGCAAAAAAATATAATCCACAAAATGCAAAAAAGTGCAGTCACTAGAGGATCCACGTCAACAAGACGTGAACTACACGAATATGGTGAATCATCTATATGGAAATTCTAAATTTTGTTTTCATGGTTGTATGGTATTTAGCACTGTTCCAGTTCATAAATCCATGAATTCTAATAAAATTCCATATTCCCCAATTATGAACAGTACTTTCAAAAGTAAATAATATGCATGGAAAGATCTTCGCATTAGCGTGTGTGTGTGTGAGAGAGAGAGAGAGAGAGAGAGAGAGAGAGTAACATCAACTGCTGTAAGCTGTTCATTTTAACCAGAACCATAAACAATTATTAGTATCTCAATATTTGAAGAAATCCAAAATACACAAGAAAGATGTTCTCATTGCTATCAATATAATACTACAAAGCAGCGTACTTTTGTTAAATTAAGCGTTTCCATGAAAAAAGCCAACAACAGGATCATACAAAAAGCCATGTGTGACTCCTTAGCACTGCCCCTCACGAATAACTAATAATTACCAGCATATCTAAAGAGAAAAGGAAGCGAGTAAACCGTACAAGAAGAAGAAGAAAGCAGTTTGGGGTTTCTTTGGCTTCTTAGCATCAAGTTTTTTGTTAATCTTCTTTTGCTTTGCTTTGGGTTTCTTCCCTGACTGAGTCAGCTGGGAAGATCTCTTCGTCCCCTCATTGAATTTTACCCTCAACACTACCTGCTGAAAATTCCAAAGCAACAGTATATACGGTCACGGACAAAGTTCCAGAAGATATTTAAATAAACAAAATCTTGTTGTGCATGAGCTGTGTGAAGGAGGAGAAAAACTAGAGTGCCAGACCAAGTTGAAATTCACGCAGCTACTTCATTTGGTTTGAGACCATAGAATTCATCACAGAAAAATGTTATAACAGATTCCCACCCAGTTTTGAATTATCAATTAAACCCTTCGTTACTTAGACAATTAAATACTAAGCAGTCCGTGTAGGGGAGCAAAATATTTCCAAAGAATTAAACCCAAACGAAAACATTCACTTTCCCAGCATTGAAACAAAAGACAAACCGGTAAGTCAAAAAAAAAAAAAAACTCGAGAGTCCCAGGTCCCATCCAACTTTAATAATCCATTTAGCCATTTGCCCCAGTTCAATTTTATCAATTAAATGCGCATAGAAATCTTTAAAAGGGAGCCAGAGTTTTTCAACCATTAAATCATGAGGCGAATTGGTGAAAAACAACTCTGAATTGAAACAAGTTAAGTTGACATGATGAAATTAGCAAACCCAAAATATGATCGAAGTTGTTGGTTCCGTTGGAACTAGGAAATCAAAAAGAAAGTCAATGGCACTATAAAACAGTGACAAGAGTTAAGAGACAAGGTAAGAGGAATGAAGGCACAAGCGCTCATGCGGATATATGATAGCTGAAAGAGAATATAGTGAAATGCTTACCTGTCAGAAGAAGTTCTTGTAGAGCGTTCATCGGAAGCAGAAGCAGGGGGAGATGAGAGAGACCTCTTTCGCGGCCTCGTGGCTTCCTTCGCCATGTGTTTTCTTGTCGGGTGAAGCTCCTTGTGCTGCTCGGTTTGGTCCGCTTAGTGTGTGTCTGCAACAAAGGCCGAAGCTTGATAACTTCGGTTTGATAGAGCGAGTTGGGTTGGGTCGACACGGTTCTCTTACCAGTGGAGTCGGGCCGTGTCTCGATAGATGAGATATGATATGATAAGACGCCCATCTGGCGGCTCACATTTCAGGTTGACATGATAATTTTGCTACACCAAAAAAAGTAAAAAAGGAAGAAAAAAAAGGAAGGAAGGAAGGAGACAGGTAGGGTGGGGAGTGCTGGATTGGATAATTAAAAAATAATAATAATCGGTAGCCAAAGTACAAGAAGGACGTGTAGGCTATTTGCTCAGGCATGTTACATCTGGAAAGCTATGTGCCAAATAAAAAAGTCTATGCTGAAGATCATAACACAAAGATATAACATTCTCTAATACGGAAGTGATCACCGGCATAAAACTCTTAAACAAAAAATCAATCTTTTGTCAAAGGGCAAGCAAATAACCGAAGCCAAATGTAACCCTTTTGAAGCAGGATGAGTCAAACTCAACATCTACCATTTGGTTGACATTAATGGAATTGTAGCATGTGGTGACATCTTTTGAGATAATAAAAGAAATTAGATTAAATGATTTTTCAAATATTTTGAATATCATTTCAACACAATCACTAAATTCTTGAAAATTTTGAAAGATATTAACTTTTGTTGAAATGTTAAATTTTCAAAACTTAATATATATTCTAATTTTATGGAAGCTCTGTTACTCATTTAACACAAATTTAATAGAAAATCCTTGCTCTCAGGAACTATAAAATAAATCAAAGGTTTTGATATGAAAGACTAGATGATCATCTTTGATTATCTGTATAGATCAAAAACAAATAATATACTAATCTAATTGCTCATCATTCTTCTTGCAATAACTTATATATCATTATCTTCAATTATCTGCCTGCTGAGTGTAGAAACTTTAAAATTTTTAACATAATTTAATTTATGTTGTCTTTTCTCACAGTTTCTTTGTGACCTTTGTACTAAAAAAAAAGGAGGAAATTGTTGGTATTTGTAATGTTGTCATTAAAAGAAATTTCTGTTTTTTAAAGAGCAACCATATGAAAACTTTTGTAAGGAGTGAGTTTTTTTCCATAGCTATTTAATTTAGTTAGATTCAAGCACTTTGAGTCCAATTAAGAATACATTTTTCAAAAATATTTTCTACTTTCACTTGGATTCAAGGAGGGAGATTTCTTCTTGTCCACACTGCTCTTTATTAATACATACGGAAAATTAACACAACAGATGCCCATAGACATGCTATCAGATAGGCATTTTATTAACTTTAGCGCATGTTGGATTTGGAAAAACGACGCTCAAATGTGTTCCGAGACAGGATATTTGGTGTGCTAAAAAATAAAGAAAAATTACGATATGGTGTAAGCATATCCTTGAAATTACCAGAAGAATTCTAGAAATTGACATGAAGTAGACTCTATATATACCACCACCAAGAGAGCAAAAATAGACAGGGTTTGTGAAAAAAGATAAACTTTACTCAAAGGAATAAAGTGATAAAAGTGGCACACTGAGTCCAATGAATATTATACTATATATAGAAAATGTATAGAAACCCCAATGAATGTAGGTTAGCCACATATACAAAGAATACCCTACATTAAACTATAAATATAAATAATACATGAACAATATATTGAACTTAGAGATTTATAGTAATTATTGCGTTTGTATATGCTAATTGGCCTTGTGTAAGCTGAGCTTCTCTTCTATTGTCTTGACAAAAAACCATTCATCCGCAAATAAAATGAAAGCAACAATATGGTCAATACAAGATTGTCCTTGTGTTAGATAAAGTAAATAGGATTGCTCACTGTAAAGTCAGTACGAGTGTTTGGTGGGCAAGAAAGCTCGCAAGTTCGATGAAGAGAATGAGAGATTGACGAGAGAAATGTGCCAAGTGGAACCCAACAAGAATATATGGCTGAATTATGAAGTGCAAGCATGATGCTTTTATCCTTCTACATGTGTTTTTAATTATTTTAGGATGTGCTTTTATATTGTTATGTGTCCTTGCTTTCTGCAAGAATTTAATATCAAGAAATTGTCACATTTTGATTAGTGTGGTAAAATAGTTCTTAAGAACAGTCTTGGAGTATGGCTTTAATTATACTTTTCACCAGATTTTCCAATAATGATTACTACAGATCAATGCAAGGGTTAGTTTTGAGAAATGCTCCTTTGTAGCAAACTAAATAATCATTCCTCATCTTAAAAAATAAAAAAAAAGCTGATATGCAGAAAAGGATTCAGAATCGGTCCAGATTCATTATGAATCTGTCTCCCACGAACACGAGTGTCCTTCCTTTCAAGAATAGCAATTTTGTGAGGAGGTTCATTGATAGTGTTTAAAAAGTCTCCTCACACGAGAGGAGAAGGAAAGATATATAGAAGTTTATAATTAATTAGTTTATATTTATATTAATTATAAAATAGTGTGAGAAGAGAGATGAAAGAAGTCCCACGTGGCATAGATTTTTTTTTTTGGGAACCACGTGGTTTAAGTGGTAAGTGGGGGGGGGGGGATTTGTTAAAAAAAAAAAAAAGGAAGGCAAGCATTACAACATATCTTACTATAAAGAATATACAGGACGGTTCTTTAATAACTATCCTAAATTATCTTTAATAACCATCTTAGATTGATTAAGCAATAGATGACGGTTATTAAAGAACCGTCCTATGTTGGTTCCAGATTTGGACATTAAAGGCTTTGTAGGATGGTCATGGCCATAACTATCTTATGATGCCAAGGTTTTTTTTTAAAAAAAAATAGGGAGCTTGCTTTTTTAGCAGCCTCATGCAATATAAAAGCATATATACTTAAAAATATTTCAGAACAGCTTAAAAATAAGATTTATATAGCTCAATTCAAAACTATAATGTTATAATTTAATTATGTCAAAATTATTCTATTCAAAATTGAATGAAATAAATCAATCAATCTAAACTAACATACCAATCTCTAAAATATCTAAACTATATATTGATAACTAAACTAATATATTCAGACAACAATCCATCATCAACAGCAAATAATCAAAATTTCATCAATTAAACTCAAGAATTATCTAATTTAAATTCATTTTTGACCAACAAAAAAGTGACAGAGTAAACAATAATCTCATCCAAATTCAGCAAACATGGAAAGATTGTAGTTGAGTGAGAGAAGAGAGTTGAGAATCATTAACCAAGAAGCAAACAACCACACACAAGCACAATGGTGAAGCCAACAGACAAAGTCGACAATGTTGGGATGGGAAGGGAGCTCAGTTGAGTGACATCATGGATTCGGCAGGTTTTGGGTTCACGAATTTCAATGACGCCTTATGGTTCTTGAGTGGTTTTGGCTATAGGTTTAAGCTCTTGAGCAGCGAAAATAGTGGGAGGCAACGAAGGAAGAAGACAACAAAAAGCTCACAATTTTGAAATTGAAAGAGGAATTAAGGATTTTAAAGCTATTTACAGGACGCTTATTTAACAAAACCATCCTCTATAATATTAAAAACTTACAGGATAATTATAAATTAGAACCATCCTACATATGTTATTATTTTTTAAAAAAATTAATTTTTTACACGCATAGGATGATTTCAAAATGAACCATCCATATAGGCGGTTTTTTTGGAACCATCCTATTTGTGTCCCTTCTCTAGGTCAAGTCTCAGCTCTACCTCCTTATATAAGACGATTGTATGCACAACCGTCCCCATATAATGCATCCTTTATAATTATTTTTTGTAGTAATGAAAGCATTGATGATGACGGCTCATGTCAACAGGCTGTAGTGATATATTCTACGGTTTGGTTTTATTGTAAGATATACACACACATATATTTGATGTTTTCACATTTGTTAAGAAAAAATGTTAGTATATAATTAAATTTATGAAAAAAAAATATCATAAGATTCCAGTTTATATTTTATGATTTACAGATCATTGTTATAAGCATGTGCTAAAGCAAAGCACTTTTGAAATTTTTATGCAACACCTTATAATTTGAACTAATACAGTAATCTAAAAAACAGTTTATGTAAAGGATCGGATGGAATACGTGGCAATCAAAGAGTCTATTTAGCAGAGAAGGCATCATAATCTTGTTTGGTTGGTAAGAGTAATTAAAATGGGGAATTGGGGATTGATGTTTTGGATTTAAAAAAAAAAATGATGCCGCATGAAAAGGGTAACATCATTTATGAGTTGAAATCAATTATTAAAATTCGCCTAATAAAAAATTAACACAAAAGTTCATGGCTCTTTTTCCCATTTGATTTTTAATTGATCCATTATCAGTTGATTGGATAGGAAAGGCATGCTTAATTGCCAAGTTTTGGATTAGGAGTATTAGCTGGGGTGGGTTTCTCTCATCTTCCCTCCAATGCCTCTCCATTGCAAGCCTGAACCATTCAAATTAAATTTATATTTTTAAAAATTACTAAATCTAAATTATCAAACCTAGTTTAACAATCTAGCAATATTTCTTCTAATGCAAGGGATGAAAGCCAACTCTATATTAACCAGGCTTTAATGTAACTATTTATTCTTGGTTTTTTAAAATTGTCTTGTTTTTCTTTCTTTATTAATATTAAGAGAACATGATTAGACCAATAAATTTGACTGGTTGAATTGAAAACTAGTCTCAAGTCCGATACAAAACCATGAAGAATTGGTCAAATTGGTTTCAAACTAGTCAAGCCCAGCAAAATTGGCAGACAAATTGGTTGAACTAGTGTTGTCATTTTTTAAATGTTTTTATTTTTAATTTTTTTAAATTTTAATTCTTATTTGTAAATTACAATTTATACACATGTATATTTCCTAATCATTGATAAATGAAGAAAATGAACAAATATGCCAAAAAAAAATGTGTATGGAATATACATGTGTGGGTGCGGGGTATTTTAAAGTTATAACATAAAGTATGAAATATGCATATATATTCTAGATTAAAATGATGGAATATTGATAGATATTACTTTTTTTTGGTTTTATATATTTTGTTTGAAATTTAAAAATTCATCATTATTATATAGAATTATTTTTTTATATTTTAAACATATATTATTTAA